TAAAAACACTAATCCACTCATGAGGGCAGAACTCTCTGCACAAAGTACTGAGACTCGAACGGTAGGCAGGTTTTCTACTACTGAGCCCTACACATCTCTTATAGGTCCCATCTCCCAATAGCACCACGTTCAGGATCAAGTTTGCAATGCATGAACGTCAGGGCTCACATTTAAACCATGGGAGGTGTCCTAGTGCAGAAAAGCCTGGGCAGAGTTGGGGGATGTGGAAGCGGATGCTGTGGGAAGGAACTGGGCTCTGTTAGTGTTAGTGCTCTGTTAGTGACACTTGCAGCATATCTTAGTTTCTTTTCTAGTTGACATGGCAAAATACCTAACAAGCAGTTTAAGGAAGGAAGGAAGGGTTTGTTTTGTCTCACAGTTTGAAGGTACAGGTCATTGTGGCGATGAAAGCATGGCAGCCAGGGTGAGAGGTAGCTGGTCACACTGCACTCATATTGGGAAAGCGAAGAACCCTCTGCTGATGCCCAGCTCACTTCCTCCTGTATAGTCAGTCTTGGCCAGAGCCAGCCAGAGGAAGTGTGATGCCCCGGGAATGGATAATCTTCCCATCCCATTTAAACCTAATCTGAAAGATCATTCGGACATCCCCTAGGTGATTCTAGATCATGCCAGGTTGACATTATCAATCATCACACATGCATCTGATATACCTGCAAGGCACGAGGCCTGAATTTGCAGGTTCCTGGCTGCGCGACGCCAGCATCAAGCGGTCGCAGGAGTGTCTTTTGAGATAGATGGTTTCTGGGATGGAGTGTTCTAAGCCAGAACCAAGGCTTGCTGTTTCCTTTCTCAGGGAGAGGTGGAGTTGGGAGATGGTAAGGGAGTGGGATGCAGAGGTTTAACTTTGGAGGAGAAAGCCTGAGAGAAGGGTAGCCTGAGGGAAGGATGGCTCCGAAGACAGTTACCCTAAGGGAAGCATGCTTATTGGTCAGAGATAGAACTAGGAAGAGCAAAGAGGTGTGGCTTTGGCTATACCAGATTCTGGGAAAGTGATAGGAATTTCTCATCTAGGTGGTAGAATTTGGAGAGAAAAGTGGTGGGTGAGTCTGAAGGTGTTAGAAGATGGGGTAGCTCTACTTCTTTTCCCTACAGAACTGAGAACCAGCGGGGATATGGTTTCATAGTAGAGCCTAACATGCCGAAGGCTTGAGTTCAATCCAAAAAAAAAAAAAAAAAAATTCAGAGGACCAGAAAATCAAGGACTAAAGGGCACAGAGCCATTCAGCAAATGTTGGGCTGCCTGTCCCCTGCTCAGCCCTTGGGGGGATATTGATCGAATTGAACTCCTTTTGGATAGCAGACACTGGCCTAGTACCAGTTCCTACAGGGCCCTAGTCTCTTCCCATGTCCCCTGGCTAGGCTTATCAGCTCACTTTAAGCCAGGGACACCTTGTTCATGGCATAATCCCAAGGGTACAGACAGCTACCTTGCCATGGGCTGGCTTTGCAATCTAGCTGACCTATGAGTGAGTGGCTCTTCTTGGCAGCTGGTTCAGAGAGGAGGCTGCTGAGCCTTGGACCTGGGTAGATCAACTGCAGGCTTCCCCTCCACAGGTTGTTCTTGTCGAAACCAGTCCAAGAAGCCCTGTGCCCCTGGAATACCCAGGGACACAAAGCAATCCTCCAGGCTAGCCCAGCAAGGAACGGAAGTAGCATGGTTGAGTTTGTGATTGGACACCTTGGAGCAGACCTTAAGACTCACCAGGCTACTTATAACTGTCCTGGTTCTGATCTGGGGGGAAAAAAAGATGTGCCAGTGTAAACCTGCATTGGGAAAGGAGCCAGAGGAATAGCTGTCTTATTGCTTGGGTTTTCTCCAGGCTACTTAGCAATGACTGCCAAAGTGTCTTTCCTGAGGTCAAGACCAGAGTGTAGACCAGAGTGTTGTTGTCTGTCACTTACTCTGGAACCTGTTCTGTATGGTATTTTCCATTTTGACTTCATGGTAGAATCATAGAGGAGGTAGGTTTTGGGGTGTGTGTATGTGTGTCATGTGTGTCCCTTTTTACTACTGATTCTTGACTTCTAAGCAATGTAACAAAAATCATGGAGAACAGATGTAGACATCTGGATACTTTAAACCCCTCAGGTCGATACATTGTATAGCCAACTTAAATGGAAACCCACTCCTCCCACCACCACCACCCACTTCCCAGCTTAGGAAAGATTTGGAGGAAGGAGGGTAGGAGAGGTTAACAAACAGTTCTGGCACAGAGTTTTATAACTCTAAGTGTGGTCCCAGCAGGGCCCAAGGGAGCTGATAAGATCCTCGGGCAGGCCTAACCCATACCTCCAGGAATCACAATGTGTTCATCAGAGGTTAAGTAGGCAGCTTTGGAGGCTATTTATCTAATCTGACGGTTTTCCACTTTCGATCCACATTAGAATCATCCGCTCCCCATGTGTACACAAAATTCCAGGGCTGGGCTAGAGTAATGAACCGGAATTTCTTCATATGGCCAGGAACAAATACTCATTATGAGTTTCAAGTCGTTTTATTTTTACATTTATTTATTTTGGATATTGGTGTGTGTTTGTGTGTTTGTGTGTGTGTGTGTGTGTGTGTACTTGTATATGGAGCTCAGAGGACAACTTGAAGGAACAGGTTATCAGGTGTGGCCAGGTACTTTTCCCTGCTGAGACATCCTGTTACCCCTACAACATGCCACTTCCCTGTTCACCTATCATTCAGAACCTCTTCCATGAATACTGCTTCTCAGACTTAGATGTAGGACCAAGTTCAAATCTACATACCGATTTTGTAGATATGCAGGAGGGCTAGGATTCCGCTTTGCTAATAAGGGTCCCTGGGGTGCCCATGTTCCTGAACTAACCAGTGCAATTGAGCAGCAGGGATCTATCTCTTGATCTGCTTCCTGTATTGACACCTGAAGAAACTGAGCGCCAGAGAAGGACATCTGACATTCCATGGTCACCTAACATGCCATTCATTTAATGCTTTACGTGTTTTAAAGCATTTGTGTTTTGGAGGGGAGCAGAGTTGGGGTTTATTAAAGACATTTTAATATATTTTAAGCATGAAGGCTAAGGAAGAAGTGCCTAGAAAGAAAGATATACCCCAGAGCATTGATGTGAGTTTCTCAAAGAAGACTCATCCACTCAATGCTTTTAATTAAATAAGTAACTAATTAATTTTAGAGACAAGGTCTTACTACGTAGCCCATGGGAGACAGCCATGCAGGAGGAGAGGCCCATGTGATGAGGGATGATTTGGCGGTGGCTGTGGGTAGCAAGCGAAGGTAGGTTTACTTTTCGGAGAACCTTGAATCCTGTCAAGGATTGTTGAGGGTGATTTTTAACTGGAAATTTAGGATTACAGATCTCACTTTTGGCTGAATGGGTGGGGTGGCAGCTGCCAATTATCTCAGCATACAGAAGGAGGAAGAACTCAAGTTTGAGCTACATAGTGAGTTGTAGGCTAGTCTGGATTATAGAATAGATCTCTCTCTCCCTGCCCCCCCTCTCCCCTCTCCCTCCTTCCCTCTCTCCCTCTCTCTTCTTCCCTCCTCCTTCTCTCACTCCCTCTCCCCTCCCTCTCTTTCTCTCTCTCCCCCTCCCTCTCTCCCTCTCTTTCTCCTCTTCTCTCTCTCCTTCCTTCTCTCTTCCTCTTTATCTCTCTCTCTGTATGTCTCTCTCAGTCTCTTTCTCTGACACACACACACACACACACACACACACACGAAAGACAGAGAGAGAAAAAAACAAAATAAAACAAAAGCTAGTCTTTTTTCTTTTTCTATGGGGACGGCCATCCTCGGTCCTCTCCAGGGTTCTGTGGGGTGGCTGCTGCTAACCCTAGTGAGGAATGAGGAAGTGTTTGGGAATTCCCTTATTCCCTTAAACGAAGTTGTTTTTGTTGTTTTTTTTTTTTTTTTAAATTTGCTTTGTTTCACTTTTGGTCACAGTTCTTAACTTGTAGTGGCATCTGGGAAATGCCCCCACTTGGGGTCACAAGCTTGGCTCCATGATAGGTCTTCATTCAGAGTCATAGATTTATGATTGTGATAGATGGCACTTCCATCAGATGTTGGTCCTGCCTCCAAGAAATAAGCTAAGATGTCCATTCGTCTTTAGGAGAGCACAAACTAGTGCTCCCTTTTATGGTCTATCATGAGTCACCTGCGCTGTATGTGACAATGCGTGTCCCAGGACGCACCTAAGCAGATGAAGGCCTGTGTCTGTGGAATGAGTGTATTCAGTGCCTGGCTCTGTGATTTTTTTTTTTCTGTTCCTGATTATTCGAGAAACAGAACAGGATGGAAGGGACATAGCCTGGAAGAAACTGGCATTTGGCCAGCTGCCTATGGCTATTAAGACACAGAGGTCTCTTAACAACATGGTCCTAGAGGAGTTGGTCCACAAAGCAATTAACTGCTTCCTGACCTTTCCCAGGGCCCTCGTTGGCCTCTGTCCACTGACATTCAAAGTATCCCTTGAGTCTTTGCTGAGCAGTACCTTCAAGGCTCCCTGACCCCATGCCCTATTGCACCGACCTTCCTTCCTGATTTGACCATGCGTCTTAGAAACTGAGGCCCAAGTACTGTTAGTGTTTAGAAGGACTGAGAAGGGGGTTTCCTGAGGACCGTCATAGTATGGAATCAAGTTCTGGCTCAGTTAACTTTTGTGTCAGAAACGGTGGACGTGTCTACTTGCCCCTAAACTGATTCTTGCTGAGTCAAAGTGCTGGAAAATTCCATTAGAGACTGGTGTCAGTAAGTCAGGCATGGGAAGTGAAAGAGGGTTGGAACCTCAGTTCTCCTTCTTATAGCAGGGCTCCACCTAGATCCCTCAGAGAGCCCTCTGAGAACTTAAGAGGAAGATCACCTGGGGCTGGTTGCCTCACTCAGTGGCCTCGTGTTTCCTAGAGGAGGAAAAGGGCAGGCAGGGGGTGTGTCTAGCTAGAAGTCCTCTCTGTGCAGGGAGAGCCTAGACTGACACCCAGGACTCCTGTCTCCTAGGTGGCCAGAGGCAGCCGGGATGACACTTCTCCCCAGGAACCCTGCTATCTGCTGAGAAACATGACCAGCAAATCTCGTGAGTGTTGTCCGTGGGGTCCCCCATGCTGGAGGAGGGTTCAGCAGTCATCCTCAGCAACTTGGGACCTCCACAGGGGGTGGTAGAGGGTCTCACTTGGAGCCAAGGGCACTTTTTATCCTGACAGCAGAAATACTTGGGTCCCAGTCCATGGCTAGGGACAGGACAAGGCCAGAGACTGGGTCTGTTGTGGTGGGGCGGGGGTGAGGACCCCAGGATCAGCAAAGAAGAAGGCAGCCTGGGACTGTACCTGCCTGCCCCTGCCTTTAGCTCCTCTGCGCATCTATCTTGCAGACTGGAAGCTCCTGGCCCTGGCTCTGGTCCTCGTTGTTGTCATGGTGTGGTATTCCATCTCCCGAGAAGACAGGTACATTGAATTGTGAGTATGCTTTCTGTGTTCTTCTATTGCTTCTTGCCATAAATGGACTGATTCAAAAGCAGGGTACCTAACCAGGCTGGAATACCTTTGAGACCCTTGACCTGACATTTCCTCTTCAGCTAACTGCTAGCTCAGAGAGTCCTTCCATGAGGGTGGGTGGGATGGGTGATGGATGGGGTGGGGGTCCAGGTGGCTTCTGTGATCTCCCACAGAGGAAATATTAAGGGCAAAGAGATCTGGACCCTCAGTGATTTGTATTCAGAGTGGAACTTGGGTTGAGGAGATACTAAGTGTGTTTAAGTCCTTCTCCAGAACCGTGGGACCTCTGTATCATCACTGGGGAGGTAGATCCTGCCTGAGATGCTGGTATTGGGGCCTCAGTCTGACTGGGCCTTTTGATTCCTCTCTCTCTCTCTCTCTCTCTCTCTCTCTCTCTCTCTCTCTCTCTCTCTCCAGCTTTTATTTTCCCATCTCAGAGAAGAAAGAGCCATGCTTCCAGGGTGAGGCAGAGAGGCAGGCCTCTAAGATTTTTGGCAAGTAAGTACCGGATGATGGGACAGGGCACAGGATGCTCAGAACTGGAGGGGTTTTGCCTCATCACTAATGGGCTGGAGGGTAGACGAAGCTCGAAGGACAAAGACCAGATAACGTAGTCAGGGGCCTGACCTTGTTCAGTTGGGTTAATCTCTTTCTCACCCCTGTCCTACACAGCCATTCTAGGGAGCATCCCATCTTTCTGCAGCTTAAGGATTACTTCTGGGTAAAGACACCGTCCGCCTATGAGCTGCCCTTTGGGACTAAAGGAAGTGGTAAGTTGTTTCTCAGCTTAGTGGGAAAGCAACCCATCGCCTACGAATCGCTCTATAGGACTAAAAGAAGTGGGAAATTTATGCGTAACGAGTTGTCTTACCCAAGCAAGTGGAGAGTTCACGCTCTGACCTTGTGGGCCACATTCTTGGATGTTGTTATCCACTGGCTCCAGACCTGAGTTCTTTTGCCCAGGCTCAGGTACCTATGTCAAGGAAGGAGAATCTCAGGAGTGGAATGGGAGCAGCCTTTAGGATGCTGATAACCATAGCCTTCACTCATTCTACTCCTCCTATTCCTTCTTTTTATAGAAGACCTTCTTCTCCGGGTGCTGGCCATCACTAGCTATTCTATACCTGAGAGCATACAGAGGTAAGGAGATGTTCTTCTTGTTTTAGTCTGGTGACATTCCCTGCTCCAGTTGGAACTCATCCTGTTCTAGTGCCTTGTCAGCCACCCTTTGGTCACTGGTTCACTATGGCCAGTTTGACCCGCCCTAGCCTGCCTGTCTCCGGTACTCTAAAATCACAACAACTTAGCCTGAACATGTAGTTACCAGAGTACCGCAGAAGCTGCTGAAGGTATTGCCATAGCAACAGACAACCAGGGCAACAGGCAAGGAAACTGTGTCCTAAGGTTTCTCCTCCCTGTTCGTTTTTTGTTTTTTTTGTTTTGTTTTGTTTTTTTTCCTTTTGAGACATGATTTCTTCATGTAGCCCAGGCTGGAGTTGGCGCTTCTTCAGTGCTTAGCTTATACGTGTGTGCCACCTTGCACAGTTCTTGTGCTGGGGTTTCTTGTGGTACCTCTCTCATTATCCCTTTGCTGTGGTCACCTTGTTTGTATTTCGTTTCGAGGTACAGGATTTCGAAGTCAGTAGAACCATTAGCAGGGCCACTGAGCATGCCCGATCCATGCAGATTGGGGCTGAGGAGAGCCCAGAAGTAATCTGAGATGCCCCCCTCCCCCAGGCAGATCCAAATCAGTGAGAGTTCAGCAGAGCAGGGGCTGCCTCTGGGTTTGAACACTCCTCTTCCCACGGCAGGCTCGAGTGTCGTCGCTGTGTGGTGGTGGGGAATGGGCACCGGTTGCGGAACAGCTCTCTGGGAGGTGTTATCAACAAGTACGATGTGGTCATCAGGTGTGTGGCCGTCCCTCCTGTTTCTTTTTGGGTCCCGGATGTCCCAGACAGGGCTGCCAAAAGGCCTGGTATCTCTGGTAATGGATATTTCTTTCCTGGCCCAGATTGAACAATGCTCCTGTGGCTGGTTATGAGGGAGACGTGGGCTCCAAGACCACCATACGCCTCTTCTATCCTGAGTCGGCCCACTTCGACCCTAAGATAGAAAACAACCCAGACACGCTCTTGGTCCTGGTAGCTTTCAAGGCGATGGACTTCCACTGGATTGAGACCATCTTGAGTGATAAGAAGCGGGTAAATCGGGTCAGGTGGGAGAGAGATGGTGATGGGGACGCTATCCGGGTCAGGGCTTTATGTCCCACAGACTGCCTTATGATACTCCTGAAGGGTTGGTGAAGGGACATGGTGAACCACAGCCAGAGCCTTGGGCTTCTCATCAAGGACATTGTTTTGTAGGGCTGCTGATAAACTTGCCCTGCTCAAGAACCTGTAGGAGCTGGAGTGGCAGCCAGAGGCCCTCAGGGCTGGAGGGTTGCCTGGAATTGGAGCACTGTCAGGATGTATGAGAAACCTAGGAATAACGAAGCCGTCCCACTGTTACCTTGGAACAGGCAACATTTTGAGGCTTTTCCTGATGGTTCCACAAAGATTCTACTCTCTCACTGGACCATCTGGTTGAAGGCTGAACTGTCTGATCTAGCAATTTTTTGCCCAGTACGTAGATAGCCTAAGGCTCAAGTCCCTGCTTGCCTGCATCTCTCTGAAAGAGGTAGTGGTCAGATCCCACGCTCTTCACGAGTTACCTATCACCTTTCCTTCCTGACCTCTCCTTTGGTCGTTCATGTCTGGGACAAGTCTTACCTCACTTGACTGGGATCCATCCTCTGAAGACCACCAACTGGAGTAGAGTTGCAAAACAGGCCTTCATCTCTTTTCACATCTCCCTTCTAACCCTACCCCGTAGGTGCGGAAAGGTTTCTGGAAGCAGCCACCCCTCATCTGGGATGTCAACCCCAAACAGATCCGGATTCTAAACCCCTTCTTTATGGAGATTGCAGCAGACAAGCTCCTGAGCCTGCCCATACAACAGCCACGGAAGATCAAGCAGGTGGTGACAAGCTGCTGACAAGACCAAGCTGGGGCGGGGGTTGGGGGAAGGGAGAACGATGAGTGCAGCTTACACCTGACCTTTGAAGAGCGCTTCCGTAGCCCGCTGACCTTGATGGACAGTGTGTACTTTGGAGAACTGGGTCGTCCTAAAAGTAGAGTGGGTGAAAGGTCTAGCTTGGACTTGAAGATGCTTCTGGCAGGCTCTGGTCAGAATCTGTAAACTGGGAGCTGCTGGCACACACGCCAGCCCTTACCTGTGAGAACAGCTTGAGTCAATGCAGTTACTGTTAGACTCTTAGCCCGAGGTCCTGTATTGGAACATACTGATCTGGTGGAGTGAGTGGAGACTAAGCTTCCACAGTCTGACTTGCATGTCTTTAGTATGGCGAACCAGTTTAGGGAGCTGTAGTGGTTTTGTGAGTTCCAGCTTTGATTTTAGCACTCTGTGTCCTGGTAGTCTTCAGCTGGTAGGGTTTACCCCCACATTGTAGCTTTGCAAATATTATTTCTGTGTGTCTTAGACTCTCTCGTGGGGGCATATGAGAAAGCAGAAGGAGGTTGCCAGCAGGCATTGGCAGGACTCTTGGCTGTATGGTTATTAGGCAGGTCTAGCACTTATGTGGGTGAAAAGTCTTATCTTTCACCCACAATTGCTTATCTTAATGGTGGGGATAATATTTGCATTGACCTCTTTAAAGCTATGGACTTAGGAGGACAATAATATAAAATGTCAGTCATAGAGATTAGAACACAGCATCTGCTCCTTTCAGTGTTTGCCCTTTGCTGTTTGTTAGTTCCCTTGAGACAGGCTGGCCTCAAACTCATGGTATCCCTCCCAAGCTCTGGGCTTACAAGAATGAGCCACTCTACCCAGCTAATCTCAGCCAAATTTTAAATCAACATGTTTCTATCCTTGACTATCTATGTTATCCAGCATCATAATTGCATGCTGCAGTGTGACTGCCCAGTGGTGAGCCTGAACTCACGTGCTTAGGGAATAAGCTGTGACCCCTGCTCAGAAGAGATGCCCTGTAGCAGAATAAGCTGCCAGTCCCGCTGTGGAGTGACGACCTCTCACACTAGAGTTGTTAAACTGTGATAGAAGCACAGAGGGGGGACATACCTCCACTGCATCGTTGTCTGGGGAACTCTACAGTTGAAGCGGTACTGTTGCCGGTCCTGTGAGGATCATATGTATATTAGGCATGAAGTGGAAGGAGGCAGTCCATTTGGTCTGGACATATCGTCCTGCCAATACCAAGTTGTTCTAGTTCAGATGGCATTGAGGGCAGCAAGGGGGATTTCTTTTAAGACTTGGTCTCACTGTGTAGACTAGGCTAGAACTCACAGAGATGCGTTTGTCTCTGCCTCTTGGTTGCCAGGGTTACAGGGGCATGGATAAGGGTCTGATAGAGTGAAGGCTTTAGCGGGAAGTAAGAGAAGATGAGGATCTGAATCCAGTTCCTGGAAGTGGGAAGGATAAAGAAAGAACCGTATTTGTATTTGGCCGTGGTGTTGCACAGGTTTTCCATTGCTGTCCAATTACAGTCAGCATAGTGGCCTCGAATACATCCTAGCTTTGGCTCACGGCCCTGCAGGGTCTCCGTAGTGTCACAGGTTGACGTTAAAAACTGACTTCCCATCTGGAGGCTTTATGGGAAATTTCTTTCTCAAACTTGTTTTAGGTGAAACATGTTTGGGTTTCCATGGTTGTAGAACTAGGGTTCCCCTGTTCCTGCAGACTGTGGACTGAGTGAAGAGCTATCCTCAGCTCTTGGAAGCTGCTTGTGTTCCGTGCCCCACAGCTCCCCCATCTTCAAGCCACTGACAGCTCAAATCTGACTACTTCATCTCTGAGGTCAGCGTCCAGATTTAGATGGTTAGGTAATTAGGTCAGTGGTTTCCTCTCATAAAAACTGTGTGAAATAATGAACTATTATTTAAGCACCTTATTTGCATATTTTCCCATATCTGTGAGAGAAGGCAATTATAAAAGAGAAGTGGAGGTTCTGTTTCAGTCAGGGTTACTATTGCTGTGATGAGACACCAAGACCAAAAGCAAGTTGGGGAGAAGTGGGTTTATTTTGCTTACACTTCCATATCATAGTTTACTACTGAAGGAAGTCAGGGTAGTAACTCATGCAGGGCAAGAAGCTGGAGGCAGGAGCTGGAGGTGTGCTGCTGACTGGCTTGGTCCTTGTGGTTTGCTCAGCTTGCTTTTGTACAGAACCCATGTCCATCAACCCAGGGGTGGCACCACCTGCAGTGGACTGGGCCTTCCTCCTTCAATCAGTAATTAAGAAAATGCTCTACAGACTTGCCTATAGTAGTGTCTTATGGGGGCAGTTTCTCAATTGATGTTCCTTCCTCTGAGTTGACTCCAGCTTGTGTCAAGTTGATGTAAAACATTAACCATCATGAGTTCCTGTACAATTACACGTCCTACCACCTATGCTTGAAGGTAGGGTTGGTAGGTTTCCTTGGCTTCCTGCCTGGATGACTGGCTAGTTGTGTTCCAGGTATTTAGTACAGAGGATGCCAGGAGGAGGGGGAGCGTGACAGAGACCGTAAGGAGTAGAGCTGATGAGGAGGTGATGACCGTGCCATTCTGCAGGACTCCAAACTGGATGCAAGAGCGCAGGGAGGTTAACATGGCAGGGGTGGAGGCGCTGTAGTAGACGTCTGAATTCCCAGTACTTGAGAGGCAGAGGTAGGATTTCAATGTTCGCCTCAGCTACATAGTAAGTTCAAAGCCAGCTAGAGCCGCGTGAGATCCTAAAAGACAGCAACCGTGAAAAAGAAGGCCTACCAAGAAACAATGAAGAGAAAGAGACAATCAAAAGGGATGCTAGGAGACAAATTGGCCTTGAAGAGGCTCCGTAAGAATCCAAGAAGTGAGTCTCTCGGGGTGAGTGGGCAGGTGAAATGTTCTATAAAGCTGAGTGTTGGGACAAAGCAGGGCGAGCTTCCTGAAGTTTGAATATTAAGTTGACCATTGCTGTGGATAGACTGGGGTGCGAGGAATGGGAAGCAGCCTGTCAGGTCGGCAGGCAAGGTATCGTTGGCCCTGGTTTACAGAAGGGCTATATCATCCTGTGAAAGGTCACACAGCCATAGGTGTTGGACCACCACATCCAAGGAGGAGGACAGAGCCCTCTTCCCTTCTCTAAACAAGTTATTTTATTTACAAGCTTCAGTTTTCTCATTTGTACAACGAGGCTAGTGACAGTATCTGTTCATATGTGTTTGAAGGGGGACTCAGTGAGATGCTGTGTTGTACCGTGTTCATACTCAGCATGACGCCTGACACGTAGTAAGCACTCGAGCAACAGATAGGATTGTGGTGACTGTCCCTGATGTCATCCTGACAGCCACGATCCTCCTGGAGACCCAGGTCTTCCTCAGAGGTGGGAGTTGGATTATCTCGTATGCTGTTGTGTCAGCCGGGACTTTCATCCCTGATGTCACCAACTTACAAATGGAAAGAGATTTTGCTCGTGGTCCCAGTTGTCTTAATCAGTTAAGGCAGGGAGGACATGGTGGCTATGGAGAAACGGGGAAAATACCTGCTTGTTCCTTATCTACCCTTTTATCCCTACCCACCTTTAGGGTGGGGCTTTCCTCTTCAGTCAGTCATTTCTATTCTTCACAGATAATCCGCCCCCAGAAGTGTACTATAGTAGTTTCCTAGGTACATCTTGAGCTAATGAAATTGACAGGATAGACACAATAGCCACTAGACACGTAACAATTTAAACTTAAAGCTCATCAGCTGACGAGGTAGCTCAGCAGTCCAGGGCACTTGATGCTTCTGCAGAGGACCTGGGTTTAGTTTTCTGTACCCACTTTGGTTCGCCAGTAACTCTATCTAGTTGCAGACCACCCAGCGCCTTCTTCCGGCCTCCGGAGGCTCCTGCATGCACATGGCATACATAGCTCAAGCAGGCACGTGCACATAAAAACAACACATCGTTAAATCTCTACATTCAAAACTTAGTAATTAGGACAGAGGACGTGGAGCAATGGTAGAACACTTGCCTGGAATACATGAAGCCCAGGTTCTATCTCCATCACTTCAGAGAGTTCACAGTTTTCTTGAGTAATCAATCTACTTCCTCATCTGCATTAGCTCCTTTCAGGTAGGTGCTCCGTTGATTAGCTGTCACCCTGTTGGACAGCTAGGGAAAGCGAGAACTGGGCAGAGAACTGACCCTGAGTGTGTGTGAGGTGGTAGGTGGTGGAGGAGGAGGGGATTGTGGCTCTTTAAAACTCCCTCCTACTCTGTCCCTCAGAAGCCAACCACGGGTCTGCTTGCCATCACTTTGGCCCTACACCTCTGCGACTTAGTGCACATCGCTGGCTTCGGCTATCCAGATGCCTATAACAAGAAACAGACCATCCACTACTATGAACAGATCACACTTAAGTCTATGGCGGTAAGCAACCCCGTTTGGGAGCCCAGTGGGCCAGGTTGGCTAGGATGACACAACCGGAGGGATGTTAGGCGAAGGGGAAGGGCAGGGGTACGGAGTGGCTCTGGATATGGTCATTCAGTATCAGAGCTGGTACCTGGGCATCTGGACACCACAGCTGGCTCCTCTACTTTGGCCACATGTCTCCTTTCTGTGAGCTAGCATAAGGAAGAAAACTCCCGGGAGGTGTGGGACCAGGGAGACGGGGAGGGAGAATTTTAATTTTCTAAAGATAGAGGGCTACCTGGGGGGCACCTCATTTTTCCTTGGCTGTCTCCACAGGGATCAGGCCACAATGTCTCCCAAGAGGCTGTAGCCATCAAGAAGATGCTAGAGATGGGAGCTGTCAAGAACCTCACCTACTTCTGACTTGGATGAGAGCTGTAACACCTTGGTTCCCTACTTTGCCAACTGAGTAGGCCCTGTCTACAGCTTAGAGGTGCCTGGTGCCAGTACAACCCAACTGACCTCACCCTCAATGGAGAGGGTGTTCTGGGACTGGCCAGGTCTCAGGAGACAGGGTGAACAGACACAGTGAGGCTACAGGAGCCTGGCCGAGGTGGGGGAGGGGGAGCTGTTGCCGTGGCATCCCCTCTCTGCCCGCACAAAGAGCTTTTTGTTTTGTTTTGTTTTGGATTGGTAGTGGTGGTTTGGTTAGTCCTTTTGTTTGTTCGTTTGTTTTTGTTTGTTTTGTTTTGTTCTTGAGACAGGGTCTGACTGTGAAGCCCTGGCTAATCTGGAACTCACTATGTATGTAGACCAGGCTGGTCTTGAACTCACAGAGATCCAACTGCCTCTGCCTCCCAAGTTTTGGGATTAAAGGCGTGTACTATGCCTGGCCCCAGCACCAAGAGATTATTTAACATGCTATTTAATTAAGGGGTAGGAAAATGAATGGGCTGGTCCCAGGACATTCACTGAAAGGGACACAATACAGTGTTCTGCCCACTTTTTAATAAAATTTACATATGATTGGCCTGTTAAGGCCCAATTCTAGAGCTGGCCTCCCAGAAAGATGGAGGCTTCAAGAGTGGGAGGGTGTCCTCCAGAGAGTGGGTGCTACCTCCCAGCAGGCATGGGGGGAGCATTGACAAGGGGGTTCCACCTAGAAGGGGCCTCACCTTGAAAAGAGGTTACAAAAGATCATTAAAATATTTTTTTTTCCTAAAATGGAAGCGCTTGTGGGGCTCTGTGTCCTTTCGGGTTGGGGAGAACATTGCTGGGGGTGTGTCAATGCATAGACATAAGATTGCAGCAGAACTTTTGAGATGGTGCCTAGGGTGAGTGTTGCCATCCCGGCAGAGCATACAGTCAGAGCCCGGATCAGCCCTGTCTTCAGACACCCAGCCTAGCATCTTGCATCCCAAGGGACTGAGGAAGGGAGGAGAGGTGAAGGGTGCCAGATGGAGGTGGCAACACCCCTTCCCATCATCCTTCCTCTCTCTCCCCGTTCCTCAAGTTACCCGGATCTTAGGCTGGGAATCGCGTGGTTTAAGGACAGGGTGGAGTCAGGCAGAGAAGGCTGCTTTCCTTCTTAAATTAAGTGGGACTCAAAAAAATAGAGCTGAGGGGAGGTCTTGTGAGTGCAGCAGTAGATAGAGGTTGCCAGGCTTGCAGTGGGCAGGGCGGAGGGACAGCACTGGAGGGATTTGGCAAGTTCTGTCAGTTAGTCACTGGTCCAGGGAATGAGACTTTTCCTTCCCGGTCCCTTGAAACTTCACAGTCCTGCCATTTGCTTGTCTCTCTGGCCTTATTCTCTATCTTTGGGCTCTGCTCTCTTGCCAACTGGGCCTCTTGCCACCCCTACAGCTGTTCCTTTACATCTGGAGCCAGGAGGGAGTGTTGGAGCTGCCTCTAGGGGACTGGAACTCACAGCTGTGTTCCTGGCTTTCTCAGAAAGAGCTGCATGCAGTCTTGAGGTTCTGAGACAAGCCAGACTGGGATGGGATAGATAGGGAAGGGCAGTGGCTGGGAGGGACTGCGGAGGGTGACACCACATCCTGGACACCACAGGATGACACTGCTGGAACAGCACAGAGAACAGTGCCAGCCTTGTCTAACAGAAAACTCTTGAGGAACAGCCCAAATAGCATTGTGCATGGTCTGAGGGGATTCTGAAAGGTGTGGTCTTGGGGTGGTGGTTCTAAAAGGTAGTAGTAGACTGTACTGTCTGAAGCCCTGCATTTCTCTACCGACCATGACAAGCTGTCAAAGAGGCTTTTTTTTGGTAGGGGTTTGTGAGTGTCTCTAGACATCTAAACTTTGCTTTTCTAAAAGGGAGTGTCCATTTCTCTATCTGAGGCTGTTGAAACAGACTGCACATTTGATCCAGCTGCCCTGGACTGAGGCCACTGTCTGATACTGAATGTGCTTAAACTTGAGCCAGAAGTCATATACTCTGGGTCACACTGCTCCTCCCAACCCCACGAGTTCTCTAAGATAGAGAGGCTTATATTCTTGCGTTGACAGTGAGACACAATCACATGCACAGCAAAGTGTGTATCTAGGCATCCACCCAACCTGTTCTTTTGGAGGTGGTGAAGGGGTAGGAGGTGCGGGGGTGGGGGTGGAGTGGGCCTAGCTCTTCCAAATTGTATGCAAGCAGAGGCAGTGCCCCGCAAGGGTCAACGCTGGGAGTGGAGCTTTGATGTGGAGTGGTTGGATGGGATTCTTTAGTGTTCTGGGAAAGAAGCTTTCAGCCCAACTTATGTGAATGGATCGCCTGCCAACTCGCCTGGTACTGATTAAACCATGCCCTGAAAAGGCCGCTGGAGGAGAAACAAGGAAGAATAGGGGGACACGACTGAGTTTACATCAGGTTGGGCCTGCCAATTCGATCTCTGCTTCAAGCCATGCACCCATTTGTCTCAGTTACCTGGGGTGACTGAATAATGGAGATTCCCGGGTCTCGTTTCGCTAGGTGTGGGGCGCAGGACTCAAACTCTAAACAAGCATCCAGATCCACCGCTATAAGTCTAGACTTAGTCTAAAGGATCTCTCACGGGCCTCTTCTCAGCCCTCCCATCTGGTTTGCTATAAACCCCATCCTAATCCCCCGCGCCCTTCAGCAATGTTAAATTAGCCTCATGCTCAGGTTCCGCCCCAGGCGGGGGCGGAGAGGCGGGGAGTATGGGGAGGGGGTTACTGAGCTGAGTCTGTCTTACTCTTGTCAGTGGCTGGGCGGGGCCATCGGGCAGAGTTTCTTGGTTCGCTGAGCTCAGACACTTTAGCAGGCCTCCGCCTAAATCCCGGCTACATCTGCCTGAATGCTTGGCCCAGGGGTCTATAGGGGAGTTGAAGTGAGGGTGGACAGTGGGGGGATAATGGCTGCTCTGAGCCCTGCGGCTCCCCATGAGGCCAGAAAGAAGAGACCGTCTGCCAGGGAGCCCAAGACATCTTCCCAACTTCGTTAGATTCTACAAAGAAGCCCTCCTTCACAGGGTAAACCCCTTAGAAACCAGGGGAGGCTCTCCCAGCTTGAGACCACCATCCTGGGTGACACAGAATATGGGTCTTTCATCTAATACATTTAAATGATGTCTTAGTTTCAGATATTGAGGGATTTTTAAAAAAATTTTGTTTTATTTTAAAATTATGTGTCTGTGGATGTTATGTACACGGGAGGGCAGAAGCGTTGGATCCTTCCCCCCAACCCCCAGCTAAATTTACAGGCGGTTGTGAGCTGCCCCTCGTGGATCCTGGGAACCAAATTCTGGTTGTCTGGCCCTACATGCTCTTAACCGCTGAGCCATCTTTTCAGGCCCTCCCCGTTGAGGTTTTGATTTACACTTTCAGAGGACATAAGTATATATTTAATTGCTTTTCTCCTGAGACTGTCTAGACTTCAAAAAGTTTCAACTTGGAAACAATACTGTCTTCGAGACAGTTAAGTGTAGTGTGCACGCGCACGCATATACACACACATAAACACACAAAACCGCCCCCTCCCTGCTGTGTCTTTTAATTAGCTGAAGAAACCTCTGTTTCTCCATCTGGAAAATACCGATTACCCATGCCTGTCTCACAATGAAATCTTCAGGATCTAATGGGAACATGATTGTAAAGTGACTAATAAATATCGGGATTGGAAAGCAGCCTTGCATAATGGAAAATTCGGGAGAGTGTGTAGAATCGGCGAGCTAGATTTGAAGGACCAAATACTTGTTCCGGTACAGAATTAACCCACTTGGGGAGAAAAGTCTGTCTTGAATCACACCCACAAGCTTAGTAGAGGGCGGTGGCAGTCAAATGTAGGTTTTGCATAGTCCTCGAACTGAGTGTAAACTCCTTGCTACCAGTGGTTTTCAAGTTACAGTCTGACACCTCTAGGGATTCTAGGAAACGTTTAGAAAGTGATGTCACCATTTTAGTGGTATGTGGTATGTTACAGTAGCTTCCTAAACATGGCTGAGACGCATGGCTCCATAGTCGTGTGTTCCTTTAAGCCTTCTGATGGTTTTGTAATCTTAATTGTAGCTACAGAAAATGATTTGGTGGGTTCAAAATCACCTTGGTTCTGTACAAGCTGTGGTTCTAGGAAGTTAGGTCTGTTCTTCCAAATTAAAAGTCTGAGGTGTGTGCGTGCCTTCGTGCCTGTGTGTGTGTGTGTGTGTGTGTGTGTATGTGTGTGTAGGGGTGTGTAGGGGTGTGTAGGGATGTGTGTGTGTATGTGTGTGTCTGTGTGTGTGTGTGTATGGCCCTCAACTAAGGAGGATTCCATTGTGAAATCAAGATGCATCCAGTGGAATTGTAAACTTTCCAGCTAGTGATGTATAGAACAGTAGTCCCTTGATGCTGGGCCGGGACAGTGACCCACAGCACCTAGCCATTCATGTGGTCATGGGGGAACACCACGATGTTCTACTGTGGGCTCCACTGTGACTAGGTATGTGATTGCATTGTCTGTCCTTGAGGTAGGCCTTTGCTGTGTATCCCGAGCTAGCTCTGGTACTCACTGTGGAACTCAGACTGATCTTAAGCTCATGGTAATCCTCCTGCCTCTTCAGTGCTAGGATTACAAACTGTGGCATTACACCTAACCTAAAAGCATATTTTTACTTATGCTATTTATCATGAGCAAAGAAGTGTATCAGGATATGTAACTCCATTATAAATCAAGAAGCGTGTGTGTGTGTGTGTGTGTGTCCTTCGTCTACTTTTTTTTTCCTGTTCCATTCTTTGTCAAAAATAAAACAAAATCCTTGCTCAGTGTCAGCTCCATAAGAAAGTATGGACAAATGAATATCTGTGGTGCCTATTAGCATGCCAAAGTACACGCAGGCTTTCAGACCTTCTCAGTACCTGTATCTCTTCTCAGCCCTTACTACCCTGCCCCCTACTCTAAACTTCTCCAGATCAAGAGCTTCCCTTCCCCCAACTTTTCATTTCTATATAATTCTGCCATTTTGGCTATGTACCCTCTTGGTCTTCTTCCCTCCCTCCCTCCCTCCCTCTCCCTCTCTCTCCCTCCCTCCCTCCCTCTCCCTCTCTCTCCCTCCCTCTCCCTCCTCCTCTCCCTGTCCCTGTCCCTGTCCCTCTCCCTCTCCCTCTCCCTCTCCCTCTCCCTTTCTCTCTCAGCCTCCACTGTTTTGGTCCTCCACTCTTTTGCTCTCTCTTATCTTCCTCTCCTCTCTTCCTCTCTCCATCCTCCTGATCTATACTGCTGGCCTTGTTTAGTCTACTTTCTCTCCCTGCTCTCTAGCTGGACCACACACTTACGTACAATGAAAACCTTCCCCTCAACCATACCGTGGAGTGGCCCTGTCCTCATGTTGTGCAATTAGGACTTTGAAGTTCTGTGCCTGAGAAATAAGCTGACAAGACATGAGGATGTGTACATTCTTAATCCCAGCACTCCAGAGGCAGAGGCAGAGGCAGATAGATTTCTGAGTTCGAGGCCAGCCTGGTCTACATAACAGATCCAGGGCAAAGCAACAAGGGGAAACCCTGTCTGAAAAACAAAACAAGCCACAAATAAGGTAGGGAAGTGTGTGTGTGTGTGTGCGTGTGTATAACAGTTGGCAGAATGTTTGCCTAGCACACACAAAGCTCTGGGTTAGATTCAAGATACCACATAAGTAGAATGTATGTGGTCACTACACCTGCAATCCCGGTTCTCGGGAAGTGGTAGCATGAGAGTCCAAAGTTCCAGGCTATCCTGGGGTACATAG